GTTGTAATCAGGACTTTTTTCAATTCATCATTGTTTGCAAATTGATCCATATTGTTCACAGATGCCTAATATTCCATTGTGAGAAGGAATGCATCACTACTTAATCATGTTTTTTTGTCAGTGTACATTTGTGATGTTCCCAGTTTTGTTCTAGGAACATTGCTTCTATAGCATTCTCATACATGTTTCCCAGTGAGCATGTGTATATGCACCAAGGTTACAGGAACCTCACACGTTCATTCCTACAAATATTACCGAGTTATTGTACAAAATCGTTATCAGTTTACATTCCCACCAGTAACTTATGAGAATTCCCTTTGCTCTATATGAAACTGTCCAACTACTTAATTTTTGCCAATCTAGGGGGTGAAAAAGATCAAAATTATATTTGGTTCTACTGTGCATTTCTTTATTAATGAGGTGAATCATTTTTTTAACAGCTTAATTCACTTACTATACAATTCAGAAGTTTAAAATTTACAGTTATTCAGAGTTGTACAGCCACACCATAATCTTAATTTTAGAACATTTTCATCACCCCAAAAAGAAACCCCCAAATACATTAGCAGTCACTCCCCCATTGCTCCCTCCCCCAGCACCGGGCAGGCACTAATCTACTTTCTGTCTCTATAGATTTGTCTATTGTGGACATTTTCTAGAAATAGAATCACACAGTATGTGGTCTCTTGTGATTGGCTGAAAAGGATCATCCCCATTGTAACATGTATCAGTACTTTTCTTTTTATTACTGAATAATATTCCATTGTGTGGATGTGTCACATTTATCCACCCATCAGTTGACAGACATTTGGGTTGTTTCCCGTTTTTGACTATAATGAATAATACTGCTGTGAACATTTGTGTATAAATTTGGGGGCAAACGAATGTTTTCCATTCTCCTGAGTGTATCCCTAGAGTAGGATTGCTAGGTCACGTGATGATTTTGTGTTTAACCTTTGGAGGAACTGCCAGGCTTGTTTCTAAAGTGATTGCACCGTTTTATATATTCCCACCAGCAGTGTAAAAGGGTTCCAGTTTCTCCACGTCCTTGCCAGCACTTGCTGTTCCAGTCTTTCTATTATGTCTTAGTGGGTGTGAGTGGTACTCACTGTGGTTCTGATTTACATTTCCCTAATGACTAATCATGTGGAATATCTTGTCATATGTTTATTGGACATTTGTATGTCTTCTTTGGAGACAGGTCTATTCACATCCTTTACCCATTTTTTGAAATTGGGTTTTTGATCAGTGAATCATCTTTCATTATGCCTTTTGTGTTTCTTTCCTTGTGAAATGCCTCTTTTTGCCCATTATATTCTTGCTGTTGTTGTCTTTTCCCTACATTAAGGTATGAGAACACAGGAGTTGAATGTGTAAATCATCTCAGTTTATGGTTAGTGTTCTTTGTGTCTTGTTTATAAAAATGCTTCTGAACCTTGAGGTCAGAAAACAATGCTCCCAAATTCTCTTCTGAAAGGTTTGTAGTTCTGCCTCTACATTCAAGTCCTTGATGTATCTAGAATTGGTTTTCTTCCGTGGTAGGAGTCAGGGATCCAGTTTCATTTTTTTCTCTGTAAATACTCAGCTGTCTTTTCTATTCTACAGATCTGTCTCTCCCTGAACCAGTATCTTTTTATCTTGTTATAAAGCTGTATAATTAAATCTTTGCGTGGGCACACCTGTCTCATTGTTCTCAGGGGTATCCTAAGAGGCGGTTCCCTCTCTTCCCTATAAACTTTAAAAACAGCTTTTCAAAAAAAAAAAAAAAAAAAAAAAAACAGCTTTTCAGATGGCCTAGAAAATCATTTTGGGCTTCGGCTGGAATTACAATGAATCTATAGATCAGATAGAGGGAAATTTACATTTCTTAACTCTTCCCATACAAATCTTAACCTGTATACCTTATTTATTTCTAATTAGGAAAAAAAAGCCTTCACTACAGGGCTGAAATCATTATGTTATTTCATAGTTAATTTCTCTGCAAAGTTTTGGAAATGGCTCTTTGCCTTGTTTTGTTTTGGACGTTGGTCCAGTGAAACCTCTGATGTATTAGGACTGCAGAGCAGTTTGTGGCTGTTATACCTCTAGCTCTGCCCTAATACGGCAGCTACTAGCCACGTGAGACTATTTAAATTAACTAGAATAAAATGAAAACTTCAGTTGCTCAGTGGCACTAACCATGTATCAGTTGCTCAGAAGCCATTGTATTGGGCGACAGTTATAGAACATTTCAGTCAGAAAGTTCTGCTGGATAGGGCTGCTATAGACCAGGGGATTGGCAAACCCCTGTGGGCCAAGTCGAGCCCACCCCCAGTTTTTGTAGATGAAGGTGTATCAGAACACAGCCATGCTCCTCCATGTATGTATTGATTGGCCTACTTTCCTGCTACAACAGTGGAATTGAATAGTTGCAACAGAGACTATAAAGCCACAGACCTGACCCCTCCTGACCATCAGTCTTAAACTTGGCGGCACATTAGTGTCACCTGGGAAACTAAAATACTAACACCTGGGTCCCAGCCCCAGTGAGCTTGATTAATTGGCCCAAGATGTGACCTGGCCCTTGGGATTTTCACGTCTCCCCCAGTGGTTTTAATTTGCAGCCCAGTTAGAGGCCTCTGCTCTAGACCTCCCAGGCACTCTTTTTACCCCTACATACTTTGACATTTAAGTGTGGGGTTTTGAGGTCCACTCAGATCTGACAGATAAGCTTTTCCCTTGACTCCCAGCTTCTGTGGCTCGGGGTTGGCAGAATGGTTCCTTACAGGGGAGTGGCAGCCTCTGAAGCCTCCTGTGACTTACGGTTTCTGAGACCTTCATCGGCACAGGATTACTCGGGTTTCATCGTAGAATAGTGATTAGGAAATAGGTTCTTCTACGGCCTTGTGCGGGCCATCACCCATTCCCCACTGTGGTCACCAGGCTAAATAGGTCCACTCGGGTCCTTAGAACAGTGGTGCTCAAACTGGCATTCATCAGCAGTGCCTGTGGGGCTGGTTCAAACGCAGATTACTCCCCACCCCCAGGGGCAATTAAGAATTTGTGTTTGTAACACATTCCCAGCAGACGCTGATCCTGCTGGGGGCACATTTTGAGCACCGTTGTTTTGGAGCAGTGCTTCTCGAATTTCACAGTGCATGTGAGTCACCAGAGGATTTTATTAAAATGCAGACTGGCTCCTTAAGGCTAAAGTAGGGCCTAAGATGGTGCATTTCTAACAAGCCCCCAGGTGTTGCTGATACACCACAAACCAGACTTTGACTACTAAGGCTGTAGACCATTTTAAGAGCCCCTTCTAACCTGGCCTCCCCATGCCTGTCTTCCCTCCATCTCCAGATTCTGCAGCTGCTGGGCTGACTTTTATAAAGCACAGCCTTAACTGTGTTACTTCCTGCTCAAACCCCCTTCCCCACCCCTCCTTCCCGTAGCTTCCCGTCACCTGCTGTTCTTTGTAGAACAAGTGGGCAGCCTGCTATCAGGACCTTTTTCTGTTTGGTACCAGCCTGCCTCTCCACCTGCTTCCTTGTCTGAAAGCTGGATATCAGGAACCCGTACCACCAGGTGTTCTGCTTCCATCCTGTGCTCACGTTGTTCTTTTGATCCCAAACTCCCTTACTCCTAGATCCTTCCTCCTTTCACCATCTGTGTACCTGTCTTAAACCTTCCCATTGCAAATGCTGCTGCTTCTTTCCTTCTGCTCCACTGACGTGCAGCAAAAAGTAAATGAGTTTATACATGTATGGTATCTTCATTCTGACCATCAAGAAGTACTTCAACCCTAATACAGTCCTTAGCACACCATCCCTGTTGAATTTCTCAGTATGAGCTTAGAAGAGCTCTTACAGGGTTTGCAGACAGTATTGTTTATTCTGATCTGAACCTTCAGCACCTTGCCCTGTGACTTTGATTCTTGTTTAGCTCCTGACCTGCTTCACAGAAGTAGTCTTGGGAGATAACTATTAAATGCTCAAAGCAATTCACATCACTTGTGAGGACTCTATAAATACCAAACATGATATTCGGTAGCCTTCAAATGTCTCTGTTTTAGTCATTCCCTTCAGTTACTGAACGAACAGTCCAATCTGTTTTGACTCCCAAGTCCCCTGTAGCAGTAGAATGAATAACATTATTAATGAATGACATCTTTATCACAGTCTACATGCCTCACAGAAACCACTTTTGCTCTTCCTTCTAGAAAGGAGCTAGTAATCTGACTTGGCGATCGGATGTCCTGGTGGAATATCAAGGAGAAGGCCGTAACGTCACTGACCCAACGTGTCCTTCCCTGAGTCCTGGAGTGTCCGTGAGTGTAGCCCGGGTTGGCTTAGAAGCTTTCTCACTGACAGCACAGTATGGCATTGGTTTAGATGTGCCAAGTGCTGAAACTCTTCATCTGAGTCCTCCTCCTGTCACTTTGTTACTTGACTCTGGGAGATCAGGAGATAGAGGTAAAAATAATCCTGAAAAATGATGCTTCCCGCCTGTTGTCAGAAGGCGCACTTCGAATTCTTCCAGTTTTCGGAACAAGTTCACATATCTGCTTATCTTCTTACCTTATCAGTACCCCCTCCTCTTTTTCCTCCCTTCCCAGTCACGGTCCCATGTTTCCTTGGGGATGTTATCAGTGCATCCACCAGAGAGACGGGGTTCCCACCTGTAACCAGGCCACGGCAAGCGTCTTGATTTGGCGGCAGCCAGGCTGGTCGCTCAGGTGGTAACGGTGACATTAGCCCCTCCTTAGAGAATGGGAAACAGGAGAGTCAACTCCAAATGGAAGCCGAACACCAGAGTGTTACAATATAGTGAAGAACCAACCAAAAGATAGTGTGGAAGATAGGATGGAATAAGAGCTAAGTCCTAGGGCTTCCCTGGTGGCGCAGTGGTTGAGGGTCCGCCTGCCGATGCAGGGGACACGGGTTCGTGCCCCGGTCTGGGAAGATCCCACATGCCGCGGAGCGGCTAGGCTCGTGAGCCATGGCCGCTGAGCCTGTGTGTCCGGAGCCTGTGCTCCGCAACGGGAGAGGCCACAACAGTGAGAGGCCCGAGTACTGCAAAAAAAAAAAACAAAAAAAAACAAGGCTAAGTCCTATTTGGTGATAAGATAAACAACTTACTTACAGATCTTTCCACAAAGCTCATTTTAGCCTTTTTCTCCAACCCTTTAGGATGAAAGATCCTAATGTACCTTCGTACTGACTCATCCGTGTATTGATTTCTTCTCCTTACCAACCCATACGTTTTACAGGTGTTCATTACAGCTAATTCTTGTCAGGAGAATAGCAGGCAGGGATGGCAACAGTCTACAAACAAAACAGCCACACCCCATGTTCCTTAATCCAGTCAGCCCTCAGTAAGGAACAAAGCCTCATATCTACTTTTGATTTACTTCTCTGTGAAAGGTTTCCTCATTTCTGTCCAGTTGTATGTCTGGCTTGAGCCATCCGGGCCCCGTGGTAAAGCAAGTCGCATTCATTACTATAGGTGAATGCTCTTCAGTTAACTTTTTAAATGTCCCTACAGCAATGTTTCCCAGACTGTGTGTGTGAAGATGCATATAACAACACGTATGCCTGTGTGAGGACCATGTCAGAAATGTGGAATTTACAGTATTGCGAGTTCGATGACCAGGAGGTAAGAGGGCCTGCTGCCTCCCCGACCCCTTGTGTCTACTGCCAGGGCTCTGTTGGCTGAACTTCGTGGCAGAAGAACAATTCCAAGGATGCTTCCTGGGGAGGATGGGTTTCTTATCTGTACTTGACCTTGGGTTCCCATCAGTTAAGGAAATAGGATTGCACAAGGCCGTACTTGACTTCTCTAACTCACCTTGCTGGGTGGGGTTTTCTCCACTCCCACCGTCACCCACACGTACGCTTTAAATGCACGCAGTTCACTTTTTTAGGATGCCACATGCCTGGTCTGTTTGCTTCCCTGATAGTTTGGGGTGAAGGTAAGATGCCTCAACTTCTATGGAGATGAAAGGAGTTGGGGCCTCTCTTAGAAAGTTTCTTGGCAGCCAGCTTGGTTCAGACCCTTCTGTCACCACCACAGTGTAGTCCAGTGCTGATCAAATAGATTAGCAGGTTAAAGGCAGCATCCTTGGAGGAAGGTGGCTTTTAGCCAGCCGGGATCAGCCTGGATTATCTGAAGGATCACACTGACTGCCGTCCCGTGTGGTTTCTTACTGTTTATCAGCGAGTGCGCACCTACCCCATCTGGCAGCCCACATCTTGCCATATGGAGCCGGTGCTCATCGTGTTTCTCAGAAATTGACTCGCTCACTATTTGTAGCTTCTGAGCACTTCGGACAACAAGCAAGAGAGCTTCCCTCAAACTCGGTTCCTTCTGCTTTAAAAGTGATAGTCCGAGGGCAGCTACTTGAAGCCTTTATAGGCAAAATTTATCTACAGTACATCTTCTTAGCCTATCACTAACTCCAGTTTGGAGAACAAAGTACAGATTAGGGGGAAATAGTGATATTAGACGTGTCTGATTTTAGAAATAATATTGTATCTTTCCTCAATTGGTGTTATTTATCCAAAACTGCTTTTTAAAATAGGAAAACTTAAGAGGACTTTCGTATCTGTTCTCATTTGAATCTTCACAATTGTAAGGCAAAGATAAACTTCAAATGTCAGCTCTCACTCAGTAACCTCATTACTAAGTATAGTTTCTGAGCCCTTGCCATTTGAGGGTCCTGCCTTCGGTTCTCTCCTTTAATTACAGAAGGTAATAAGCTTCTTCCTCTTTCCCCTCCTGACTGCCTGAAGGCACAGGGATCCTGGAGGCCCCTTTCCAGCATGTGGTCCACAGACCCAAAGCAGTTCAACCCTCAGAACAGATGCTCCATTGTCTCCTCTATACCGTTGGGCTTTTTGAGAACCTTGAGACCGGATGATATTCTCCTGGGCCTTGGTCTTTAATCTGCCTCCTTCATTCCCATTTAGAAGTAACTCACAGGAGTATTTCTTCAAATGTAACCCTTGCTTTTTTCTTGCCTCCATCTTTGCATTTCCTGTAGGTGTTTGTAGAAGTCTATAACCTGACTGCAGACCCACACCAAATCAATAACATTGCTAAAAGTATAGACCCAGAGCTTTTAGGAAAGATGAACTATCGGCTAATGATGTTACAGTCCTGTTCTGGACCAACCTGCCGCACTCCAGGGATCTTTGACCCCGGGTAAGTTTGCATCGTCCTCAGAAACTGTTCCGTGGTCTCCAGCAGTCCTGCCATTCTTAAAGGCACAGGGAGCCTGATGGGTCCTCCTTGCTCCGAGCTGAGCTGTTTCTCTCTGTTCTGCATTACAAGGGGAATACTGCGTCCCAGCGCAGCAGCCAGTTGTGCTGGGGAAACGAGCTGCTCTCCACAGCCAGTTGGTGCTATAGGTAGAGGCGCAGCCCTGCCCGTACCACGCGGGGCTCTTCTTCCTCCCTGCGATTCTTGTCATGGTACCACTTGACTGCACTGGTGACATGTGGGGTTGCTTTAGTGTAAGCTGACCCAGGGCTACCCTGTTCCCTAGTGCTTCTGAGAGCACATGCTTTCATGTCCTTTCTCAGAAGCCCCAATTACAGAAACTTGAATACTTGCCAGTAAATTTAATATATTAAATACACACAATGAAATAGAAAGTATGAACTCTCAAGTGTCGAAATAAATAAGCCCGCTGTAACACGTGAGGGTTGGAAAGATATTTAACGCTCACCTACTAAGTCAGCTCTGTTCCTCCTACTCTCATTCCTCTTAACCAGTAACTTTTCATCAGTAACATGGCTGTCAGCACACCATGCATTTGAGCTGTGTGTGGCAAGAAGCCTGTCATTTTTTGCTTGAAGATTATAAAATTCAAAATCAGACTTTCATTGGGAAAGGATTATTTCAGTTCTTATACTCTGATTGTAGGAGAGAGGGAAGAATGACGTCCTAAGCCGAGGGAAACTAGTACATTATTTAGCGACCTTCACGTGAAGTGGTATCTTCAGTCCCAATCAGTGAGGAATGTATGTGAATGAGGAGAGAAAGGGGATTGCAGACTATTTACTAAAGAAATGTAGTACTTATCATAATTTTATATCATTTAAGCTAATTAACTTTTACATGGATACTCTTGTTAATGTGTAATTAGTAACTGACCAAGCATTCTGACCACCCAGCTTTAATCTTTCCTCCAAGTTAGTGAAATGGATCCTCATTTGGTGGCAGTTCCTTGAAATAGGAAGTTCATTCTCTAAGATAGAAGCACTAGACTTCTAACTGACACATGCTGATCTTGCAGTTTCTAACAGCTACTTTGCTCAGAATGTTTTACCAAACTAAATAGTTAGATGTCTATAGCAGTCGCTGACTGACTCTAGGAATTTAAAGGCAGCGTCTAACTAAATCTTGCATAGAGGGTCATGAGACTTGGACATCTTGGACTGTAATGTTGGGCCACAGAAGGTCAGATGCAGCAGCCCCGTTAAGTGTTAGAAGGACTCAACCATAGAATTCCCCTGTAGCCCTTAGAGCCCAAACAGGTAAATTTCACATGAGGAAATAGTGCTTGGACTTGTGATTTGCCCCAAGGTCAACCGTTCGGAACTGATTTAGCAAGATCTCTTGACTTCCAGGCAAGGTTTGGTTTTTTTGTTTTTTGTTTTTAATTTTTATTTTATATTGGAGTATAGCTGACTTACAGTGTTTTGTTAGTTTCAGGTGTACAGCAAAGTGACTCAGCTATATATACATATCTGTCTTTTTCGAATTCTTTTCCCATTTAGGTTAGTACAGAATATTTAGTAGAGTTCCCTGTGTAAGTAGGTCCTTGTTAGTTATGTATTTTAAATATAGTAATGTGTATATGTCAATCCCAAACTCCCAATTTATCCCTCACCCCACCTTTCCCTTTGATAACCATAAGTTTGTTTTCTAAGTCTGTGAGTCTATTTCTGTTTTGTAAATAAGTTCACTTGTACCTTTTTTTATTTTAGATTCCACATATATAAGCAATATCATGATACTTGTCTTTCTCTGTCTGACTTACTTCACTTAGTATGATAATCTCCAGGTCCATCCATGTTGCTACAGATGGTATTATTTCATTCTTTTTCATGGTTGAGTAATATTCCATTGTACACACACACACACACACACATATATACCACATCTTTATCCATTCATCTGTTGATGCACACTTAGGTTGCTTCCATGTCTTGGCTATTGTTAAGTAGTGCTGCAGTGAACATTGGGGTGCATGTATCTTTTCAAATTATGGTTTTCTCAGATATATGCCCAGGAGTGGGATTGCAGGAGTATATGGTACCTCTATTTTTAGTTTTTTAAGGAACTTCCATACTGTTCCCCATAGTGGTTGTACCAATTTACATTCTCACCAACAGTTTAGGAGGGTTCCCTTTTCTCCACAGGCTCTCCAAGCACTTATTGTTTGTAGACTTTTTGATAACGGCCATTCTGACTGGTGTGAGGTTGATACCTCATTTTAGTTTTGATTTGCATTTCTCTGATAATTAGTGATGTTGAGCATGTTTTGATGTGCTTTTTGGCCATCTTTATGTCTTCTTTGGAGAAATGTCTATTTAGATTTGCCCGTTTTGGGATTGGGTTGTTTTTTTAATATTGAGCCGCTTGAGCTGTTTGTAAATTTTGGAGATTAATCCCTTGTCAGTCACATTGTTTTTCAAATATTTTCTCTCATTCTGTGAGTTATCTTTTCGTTTTGTTTATGGTTTCCTTGGTTCACATTTGTTTTTATTTCCATGACTCTAGGAGATGGATCAAAAAAGATGTTGCTGTGATTTATGTCAAAGAGTGTTCTGCCTATGTTTTCCTCTAAGAGTTTGATAGTGTCTGGCCTTACATTTAGGTCTTTAATCCATTTTGAGTTTATTTTTGTGTATGGTGTTAGGGAGTGTTCTAATTTCATTCTTTTATATGTAGCTGTCCAGTTTTCTCAGCACCACTTATTGAAGAGACTGTCTTTTCTCCATTGTATATTTTTGCCTCCTTTATCAAAGATAAGGTGACCATATGTGCGTGGGTTTATCTCTGG